TTTTTCCTCTGTTAATTAAGGAGCCTAGAGAATGTTATACGAAATATTCTTGGATGATTCCAATGGAGATGTTGCATGTGTGAGGGATTTGCGATTTGACCATTGATTCTTATGTAAAAGTTCGCGAGAAACACAATTGTGCCACTGGTTTTCTCTGAAATCATCTCCCAAGCTCAAAAAAAGCTCACAAAGTGAGGCCAAAATGGAGGGGATATCCCACCCTACCCTGAGAGTCCACCTCTACATCAAAACAAGCTCTCCATGCAAAGATAGGGAGCAAATACATTAGCAGGGTTGCTACTTTATTTGGAGACTTCAAAACTGAAAACACGGCAGTGTGTAGAGGTGGACTCTCAGGGTAAGGTGGGATATCCCCTCCATTTTGGCCTCAACTTGAGAGCTTTTTTTGAGCTTGGGAAATAATTTCAGAGAAAACCAGTGGTACCATTGTGTTTCTCGCGAACTTTTACATAAGAATCAATGGTCAAATCGCAAATCCCTCACACATGCAACATCTCCATTCCAAAACACTGGAAAATGACGAAAGAAATGAATTTCAAACTGATAATCGTGTCATTGTAATTTCCTAAATTGTCAGTTAAGCGGTATTGCTCCTCAGCCTTCGTAATGTCATCGTTATTGTTTTGATCCGGCTCGATATACCTGAGAATCCCCAGGGTGCGCTACGACTAGCGTCTGTAATAATTCGTTTCGATTTCGGAGCGCTTGGCCCCAAGCGGTCGTGGCTCGCGGACAGAGATACGGTTCTCATCGTCCGCAGGTCGGAGTCGGGGCTTGGAGAACTAAACGGCGACTATTTTTAGTGGCGGCTCAGCGCACCGGTCCGGCGGTGCAGCCCCATCTCACCGTGCTTCCGTGCCCCGACTATTCCTGTCGTCGCCCAACTACGTGATCCCGCGGGTGATCGCACCGAGAAATTTCCCCCATTCACTTCCCGCCCAAGTCGACCCCAAGCCTCGGGGTTAATCAACCTAACTCCGGGCTCATCGTTGAAACCGATAGACAAAGAAGACCAAGGGGAAATGGAGCTGTCCAATCGATGGAAGCGGGTGGTTGCAATGGACGAAGGAGGTAGGTATTAGACTAACTAGCTAGCGGACAGATTGTTGAAATTGATGGACAAAGAACACTAAAAGGAAATGGAGCTATTTAATCGGTAGAAGAGGGTGGTTGCAATGGACAAAAGAGGCAGGTAATAGACTTAATAGCTAGCGGACGAATTGTTGAAATTGATAGACAAAGATATAGACAAAGAAGGCAAAACGGCAATGGAGCTATCCAATCGGTGGAAGCGGGTGGTTGCAATGGACGAAGGAGGTAGGTAATAGACTAACTAGCCAGCGGGCTGATTGTTGAAATTGGGAGACAAAGCTATTGACACAGAAGACCAAGGGGAAATGGAGCTATCCAATCGGTAGAAGCGAGTGGTTGCAATGGACAAAGGAGATAGATAACAGACCAACTCGCTAGTGGAATGATTGTCGAAATTGGTAGACAAAGCTATAGATAAAGCAGACAAAAGGGATATGGAGAGATCCTATCGGTGGCAGCGGGCGGTTGCAATGGACAAAGGAAGGGAGTGCTAGACTAACCAACGGCACCCTTCAAGAGACCCATGGTTAGCCCATCATCCGAACCGCGCCAAGCAGAAAGGAACTAAGCCACCTCGGCTTTCGCCAAATGTAATTGGGCAGTTTAATTTTTTACGTAAAAACTATCGTGCAGGTTTTAGTGCAGATTTCAGTGAATTTTCTGCTAGTACGAAGCGTCTTCCCTAAAATTTTCTAGTGGATCCGTACAAACGTTCTCTTGTAAAAATTTGAATTGCCAAGCTATATTTGGCAATAGCTGATGTGGCTTTGTTCCTTTCTCCAAACGCGGTCCATTTTTGCCTTTAGCCTGCAACAACCACTCGTTTCAACCGACAGGATCGCTCCGTTTTTCCTTTGTCTTCTTAGTCAATCGCCTTGTCTATCAATTTCAAGAATCAGCCCGCTGGCTACGAAAACTGAGACGCTTAAGCACATAGGAAGAAAAATAACACAAAAGTTCGGTTAACACGGGAAGTGGAACACAAGTTAATCCAAGCTCTCGGTTCATTCTAAGGTTTTCCATCGTTTCCGGGTTAAAAAAACTCTAGGTATTGGCGCAGAATCTTTACTGAAAGTATTCAATAACAGCTCGAAGACATCTAATGTGCTTAATTCGAATGTGTCATCACCGTGCTGAAGAGAGTGCATAATTCCATTTTCACATGAGCCCTTGAAAGCAGAGTGACTACGGTCAATACAGCTCATATCTAAACGTGGTTACGATTAGCTGTCGAGAAAGGAACGAAATGACGCACGAAACGATGATTTTTGCGCGTTCTAGCGAAGTTAACGACTCAATTTAAGTCATTGTTGTTAATTTCGAAACACTGACTCATCCTCGTTGAGCGGAAAGTGACTCAAATTGCCTCAAAGATTCAGTGTTAAGATCACAGGAAATCATCATAAAGATTATTCGTCGAAAAGCGACGAAAAACAAAGAATATAAAGGAAAATAATTATTCGAGCGGTTTTTCGCGAGAATTTGATGACGCGGCAAGAAGTAGTCCGCAAAATTAATGAGCAACGATTATAACATGTTTGCGCGGATAAATGGATGCACCAAAAAGAAGGGCCGATATTCAATTGGGCGGATTCAATCATAACCAGTCGAACTTAGAGTTCGTCGATTAGTGCGCTTAATATTACAGGGTGTCTAGCATCAAGATTTTCCCGATTCTATCAGAATTTGAGGTCAATCAGGATTTAATCCCGATTTCATCAGGATTTGAGAAAAAATCGGCCGTAAAATCAGGATTTAAAAAAAGTCGGCTGTCCGATCGGATTTTTTTAATGCTTTCGCATACGCTTATGCAGATATTTCAATTTTTATCAGGATTTGATCAGGATTTTGAAAAATTATGAAATCAGGATTTAGCAGTCAAAAATCAGGAAAAATTAGGATTTCATCAGGATTTCCCCAAGTGAAAAAAAACTAGACACACTGAATAAATTGATTGCAAAAATTTCAATTAACCGTTTAATCGACCATATCCCACCGATCAATCAAAAATTAAAAACTTCCCAAATCCCAGGTTAATTTTTTAGAAATCAGCACAAAACTTCGTCAAATTTTAGCTCAGAGCCCAATAATGCCAATATTTTATTTAAAAAGTGGAATTTAGGGGATAATACGGAAATTGCTGTGGCGAAGCTAAATTATCATCGAGAATGATACACACACGATTCTCGATTCTCCAATTCAGCGCAAATGCTGATTTACACCTAGGAACCATGGCGGGCATCCCAGGGTACATACGTCAGTCGCTGATGACGTCCCTAACTGCGGATACCGGCAGCCACCCAAAGTGTAAAGTTAGTTTATCGTTATTCAGTGTATGTATAACTTACCTCTTTTCATTCTTACTGTATCTTTTGCTCTCTCACTCTCTCTCTCTCTTGGTGTGATGTAATTTTGTTTCTTCTGTAAATTTCTCGGTGGCAAATGTACAATTTAAAAAAAAAAAAAAACAAAAACAAAAACAAAAAAAAAAAACCAAGGTACATGTTGTTATCCTTAATATTTGCCATTTCAAAATATGTAGATTAATCGTTTAAACGATCGATTCAGCGATTAATTGGACCGCGTTAAACAGAAAGGAACCAAGCCACATCAGCTATTGCCAAACGTAACTGGGCAATTTAATTATTTACATGAAAAATGTTGTGCGGATTTTCGTGCAAATATCAGCGAATTTTCCCTATAGCACAGAACAAATTCCTTAAAATGTTTAAGGGAGTCCGCACAAACGTTCTCTAGTAAAATATGGAATCGCCCAGTTGAATTTGGCAATAGCTGATGTGGCTTGATTCCTTTCTGTTAAACGCGGTCCAATTTTGATTCGAATAATCGATTGATCCACCAATTGAAAAACCGAATTGAAAATCGAAAATTGGCGTGAAGTAGCCAGGGAAGAGTGTTGGTGCTTTATGCGAATGTGACGACAGGAAAAGAAGCCTATTCATCACCCCTCCGACGTTGGACCGTATCTCCATCACCTCATGAGCCCCAGAAAACACGGATTTACATGTGAAACAGGGCTCACGTGGAAATCGAGATACGCCCTTACGTCGGAGGGGCGACGCGTTTCGGAACTGCTCGGATTCGCCCCGAGACGAGTGAGCGTCTGCCTTGCCAAGGAAAAAGCTCTTGTCAACATTCAAATCTTGCCAAATTACCTCTTATAAATCGTCAAACTTCAGGGAAGTAATCGGCGTTATCCCCAACATTTTCAGCGATATAACGAAGATTAAATCGCGAATAACATTCCGTGAAAATTTCAAAGAAAAGTTATTTAAGAGTATTCGCATTTTACCGGAAGAAATGTAGAAAGTCGAAACTTTCGGACGTTGATAGGACGTTACTGCCTAGCACGACGAAGATCAACGCTCGGACAAAGCTCCGATCATTCCTCTGCGATTCCGCTTTTCATCACCTCTGCGTCGTCGCTCGTCTCGCCGGTCGGCCGGTAGGCTGATGATCAAAATTGATTGACAAAGCAATAGACAAAGAAGTTGAGGTGAAAATGGAGTGATCCTGTGATTGAAACGTGTGGTTTCAATGGATGCATAACACTGGGAAAAAAACACATTGGATCTAGAGTCCAGACTCTTGAAAACATCGGCAAGAAAAAATACTCTTGATTCAATCGGATTTTTGCTTAAATCAAGAACCAAGCCTCTTAATTTGAGCGGATTTCCTTTTGATTTAAGCTTAAATCTGATTGAATCAAGAGTGTTTTTTCTTGTCAATGTTTTCTAGAGTCTGGACTCTCGATCCAATGTGTTCTTTTTTTTTCCAGTGAACGTTAGAAAAAACTCCGAATGATTTCAGGGAAAAAGAAAGTCTCTGCGAAAAACTAACCTCTTTCTTTTTTTGTAATGTTGCAGATTTTCTTGGCGGAGCTCCGAGTCAAAGAACCCAAATAGGTAAGCACAGCTTATTATGTCTATTGGTGAAGTATTCACATTCATTACACCGAAGAAAAGCGTTTCCTCGGCAGTTTCTCTTTGCATTCCATTCGGGTAAATACTTGTTCTGAGGAGGTGGCTATCGTGTCATTGTCTTGCGAATCTTTCGTTGCGACATAGTCCAGGCAATAGAGAATTTTTGAGGGAAAGTTTAGTCGAAATAGCAATTATGGGCTAACGTTAGGTTTTTTGGGTCGTAGAATCCGAATTTCGACTTGCCTGACAGATTCGACCCTACCCCCGGCCGCCATTTTGAAAAAACGACTAAAATTTACGATTTTCCCCCATTTTTCGCTTATAACTTTATTTCTGTTCAAAATATCGAAAATCTCGTCAATTCTGTGGAAAGACGATTAAATTTGCAAGAGATTGGTATACACATATGTACACTTAACGTGAAAATCGCGAGAATGGGAGCGTGAAGAAGGCAGCGGGAGATATCGATCTTGCGCCATTAGATACTCGTACTAACACCCTTTATCCCTGCAACCCTTTACGTGCGAGTCATATTAAACAAGCGGTTATTTCAACGTATTATTTTATTAATCCCATTACATAAATGACTGGTTACGGATTTGGACAAAATCAAAAATATTTTCAAAATGTGGACATGTTTAATAAGTAAGAGAGTTAGTCCAATCGTGGGCGTTTGGCAGCTCGGTGCAACGAAGTTCTAACTTTTGGTGACGGACAGGTGGATGGGCCTCTGTTTCTCCTCCATAGACATCACGGCCGGCGTTGATCTCCGACTCTAACACAGTATCCAGAATATGAAGGTAGAAGTCAGACGAAAAAAAAAAGAAAAGAAAAGGGGAAAAAAGGAACCTAAATTGATGAAAGATTAAAATTTTCGCATCACTAATCCCAAATAGAAAAAGCATTCTGGTTTACTGTATCTAGCAGTCTGGTATTCATTTATGGTGTGTATTTCTGATAATCCTTACAGAAATTTTTGGTAATGATTATCAGGAATACGTGTCACTAACGAACACCTGATTGTTTAATAAAGCTTGCCATGGTATTTTTTCTATGCAAGAAGTTTTTGATAACAAGCGAGCAGTGTAAAAGAAATAACAAACCTTTAGGTTCATTGTTAATTTCTGAATGTCGCTTTCTGGAAGGTCTTTAACTTCAGTCATGACAGCTTCAAAATCTTCTTCTGTACTTGGCTCGTCGAAAAAGTCATAAGCTTCAACATCATCCTCGTCCTCAGAATCCGCTAAAGCAATTTCAGGCATGTTTTCGCATGTATCACTGCAGTTGATGCACAATGCTGGGCATTTAAGTCCACGTTTCCTGCAACCGCACGCGCCTCGACAACTCGTTTTGCAATTGCAGGATTATCAGAAATACACACCATAAATGAACACCAGACTGCTTGATACAGCAAACCAGAATGCTTTTTCTATTTGGGATTAGTGATGCGAAAATTTTAATCTTCCATCAATTTAGGTTTAGACGTGGTAGGTCTACGGCTGATGCTCTCAAAGCCCTTAAGAAAATCTATGATGAGAACAGGCTAGTACCCCGTAGACATAGGCAATCCTTATGTCTTATAGGTATTGATGTAAAAAATGCTTTTAATAGTTTAAGGTGGGGGGATGTAATTGATAGTTTAGTTAAGAATCTCGTCCCTAGTTATATTGTTGCAATTATACAGAGTTATTTATCTGATAGATATCTTATTGTTAACGAAGAGCTAATGAAATTATCATCAGGAGCTGCACAAGGCTCAGTAGTTGGTAGTTTATTCTGGAACTTAGTGTATGACGAAGTTGTTAGGATTAGAATCGACCCATCTAGGATAATTGCGTACGCCGATGACCTCCTTGTTATCCTTAAGAGTTACCCTGAGAGAATTTTGGAAGAAAGTAGTAGAGTAACTAAGAGAATTGGCAAGAAATTAGAAGAGAAGGGACTTACCTTAGAGCCTGAGAAAACGGAGGCATTATTTATTGAAGTTCCAAATAAATTTAAGGATAGCCGAATTGTAGTTGATGGAGTAGAGATTGAGACTGGAAAGTCGCTTAGGCATTTAGGCTTCCATCTTAGTAAGGGTTTAAAAATGAATAATCATGTTAAAATTGTATGTACTAAAGCTAAAAAACTATCTAATATTTTACAGTCAATTGTTCCGAACTGCTTTGGACCTTCTTATGTGAAAAGACTTATGATATTTCAAGGTGTGTTATCTATTATTTTCTATGGCATTTCTGTTTGGGGGAGTTTCCCTGAAATGAATTTAAAATGTAACTTGTATGAAATAACTAAAGCCATTCGTCCCATGAAACGGGCCTTATGTATGGCCTATAGAACTGCGTCTACGAATTGTCTAGATATACTATCTGGTATCCCTCCAACGGACCTGTTATTGGAGGAGAAATATAGGAGGTCGAGAAAAGAGGAAGATTTTGTGGAGATCAACAACGATATTGTTGATAGATGGTGTATCCGCTGGAGGGATAGCCCCACTGATGTTTGGTGCAAGCGCCTCATCCCGGATTTAGAGGTATGGCTTGATAGGGAATATGGTTATCCTGACTTTTACATGACGCAGTTCTTTACTGGTCATGGGGCGTTTGGGTCATATTTATCGAGATTTAAGATTATTGATAGTGATACGTGTAAATTTTGTACGGTGACCCGGGACACGCCGGAACATACCTTCTTTGAGTGCTCAAGATTCACAGCCGATAGAATGAGAATTGAAGCCGAACTGAACATTAATTTAAGATCAGACAATATTGTGAAAGAGATGATAAGTAGTAAGATTAAGTGGAAGATAGTGCATAATTACATTAAGAAAATTTTAACTGTTAAAAGTAGCGTATATAACAATAGAAGACATGATAGAACGATAGTAGAAGCCAACCAACTCCCGGCCGATGATATACCTTCGGGTAATTCCGGCGTGTCTCGGATCACAGGTACATAAATATTTAAG